TTTATTTTTTTAATTTTTTATGAAATGAAATAGCAATTTCATTTTTTAATTTTATAAAAAATGCTTGAAATTAATCTTAGTTTAAAATAATTTTAAAAATATTTTGAACCTGAATTTTTTTTTTAAAAAAATTGAATTTAATGGGTCAGGTTTTTGCTCCTACGTATCCTTTGTGTATAACAAAGGAATCAAAGTTGTCACCTAGTTCTTTTTTAACAATTGAGTTTTTGATAAGTTTCAAAAATTTTCTTCGTTTTAAAAAAAAACTTGATTTTTCTTTATTATTTTTTTAAGTAAATTCACTCTTGCACAAGGTTCATGTTAGCACACAACTACTCAATAAACCTTTACGATATAAGAAATGTTGAAGGTGGATTCACTACTTTATCATAATTGCTTAGTCGTGCATGGATTCAAAATATTTTTAATATTAGTTTTTCTTTTTTAGAAAATCCACCCTTTTTGTTTACTGAACAAAACATGTATATGTCTTAATGAATATGAAAAAAAAATAAAAATCTTAGGGTAGGGAAAGGATTTGATTTTTTAGATCTAAAAAGGTTTAATATTTAGGTTGAGAAAAAGATTGATGTTTAAGATTAAAAGGTTAGATTTATAGGAAAAAAAAACTTCCAGGGTAAAAAGAAAATTAGGGTTTTTAGGTTTGTAAAAAAGAAAGATTTTTAGGGTTTATTTTGTAATAAAAAAATTCAATTTTTTAGGGCTTGCGAAAAAAGGAATGATTTTTGATTTAGAAGGAAAATTAAAATTTTTGGAATTTGAAAAAAAAAGGAAGATTTTTAATGGATTAGGGTTTTTTATGGGGTTAAAAAAGTGATAATTTTTGTAGGGTTGGAGAAAAAGTTAGGAGTTCCTAGGGTTCGCAAAAAGGGATAGAGGTTTAGGAATAGAAAAATATTAAAATTTGCAAAAGGGAAAGTTTTTTTGGGCTAAAATTATTTGCACGTGCAAAAAGCATATTTTTAGGGTTAGGAAATGTTAGGTTTGTAGAAAGAGATGATTTTGTTTAGGAAAAAAATTGAAATTTTTAGTATGAACCAAAAAGGAACAAGAAAAAACGAGAGCAAAATACACATAATAGATGAATAAAATAAACAAAATAAAATAAAAGAATAAAAAGATCTTACTTGATCTAGCAAATAAGAGTTTTTGTTAGCCTTATCCTTCAACTATTTAGGTTTGTTCTCTGCTCGACCTTTGGATGTACCTAGATTTGTTTTCTTTCTCATAATATTAGCCCTTTCCTCTTTCTCTTTGTTTTCTGGGTTCTCACTTGAACTCTTTTTTTTTTTGTTTCACCATGCTCTTAAAGAGGTTAATTCTCTTTTTCGTTTCACCATTTTTTAAAAAGTGTCTCTCTCAAAACCTAAGTTTTTATTTATAGGTATTTTCTAAAACTCTATATCCTAATTATTTATTTATTTAATTTAATAAATGCTCTCTTATTTTTCGATGACCAGCAATCAATTTTTTTTTCGTTCTCATCCGTTCTCCTAAAAATCTAGAAACTACTTTGACCATTTCTAAATCTGATTTTAAATTTAAAAATTAAAATTTTCAATTTGAATTTTAAATTAGTTTTTATCTATTTTCTTACTTCTTAAAAAACCAAATTATTATATTTAATTTTTTATTTTGAAATATTTTTGAAAGGGACCTAAATAAAATTGGATATTCACAGAATGGTAAAAAAATTTCTCACCTCTTTTTTGCATATGATATCCTCTTAATTACTAAGGTTTCATTGATTAAGTCATTAAAAATAATTAGATTATAAATAATTTTTATTCTTCTACTAGTCAGCATTTTAATAAGCTGAAATCTAACATTCTTTTTTCAAATAATACTTATGGGGTATTAGCTAATCAAATTAGTGATACTTTAAACATAAGAAAAATTACTAAATTTGATTCCTATCTTGGTCTTTCTATTCTATCAGTTAGGCTCAATAATCAAATTTATAATGGTTTAGTTGATAAAATGATGAAGAAACTTTCTCTTTGGAAAGCTAAGTGATTATCAATGGCCGGGAGAGTTGCTCTTACCCAAGCTAATCTGATGAGTATACTTGTTTATTATCTATAATTTATATTATTGTGTGTAAAAAGACTTAATAAACCTTGTAGGCAGTTGATTTGGGCTCTATACAGTAGAGGACATGTCATTTAATAAGTTGGTCTACCATTTGTATTCCTAAAGAAGATGGAAGTTTATGGTTTAGAGATATTAAAAATTTAAATACAATATATTTAATGAAATTAGAATGAAGATTTATTACTTATTGTAACGATCTTTGGGCTCAAGTTTTGATTGTTAAATATAGATTTCAACTTAGGAAACCTAATGTTGTGAATAATAACCATAAAATTTCAAGTACTTGAAAAACTTTAGCTCAAATATGGCTTAAGTTCTATAACTATCTTGAATAGAAGATTAAGGATGGAATGTGTACAAATTTTTGGACTGATAATTGAATTTCTAGTTTTAGCAATTTTAGGGAGTTTACTATTTGCCTTATTCCTAAGTTTAATTTTGATTTTTTTGTTTGCTTATTTTCATCTTTTGCATCCTAGAATTTGAATAAATTTAGTCATTTGTTGCCTCTTTATATTTGTCAAAGAATTGCCACCTTAAATCCTCCTAACAAAGAGTTAAGAAATGATATTCCAGTGTGGTCACATTCTATGGATGAAGAATTTTCTATTAAATATGTTTATCTTTAAAGTATAAGGATAGTCACCATATTAGTAATAAGAATGATGGTTTCAAATTGGCCTGGACCACCTAAGATTAATTTATTTCTTTGAATAATTTCTTATGGTAAGTTATTAACAAATGCAGAAGGAATTTATAGAAGTATTTTTTACTCTGATCTTTGCCCTAGGTGCTTTGTTGCACTTGAAATGAATATGCATATTTTAAGGGATTGTCCATATGCTTCTTATGTTTAGAACTTGTTGATCTCTAACATTGATTGGTATAAGTTTTTAGTGCTGGCTTGAGTAATTGGTTCATTGGTAATCTTTCTCAGCATAAAGTAAATAATTTTAAGCATTTGAATTTGATTTTTGGTATTTTGTTTTAGAAAATATGGTCTAATAAGAATTCATTCATTTTTAATAATAATTTATTCTCCCTTCTTTGTTGGTTTCTCAATCTAAATCATTTGGTTCTTATTTAGTCTCTTTTTGCAGGGACTCTAGATTATTTTTTGGATTACAAGATTTTGTAGTTGAAATGGTCTCTTCCTTTAATAGACTATGTTACACTAAATGTTGACGGTTTTGTGTTAGCTAGCTCAAGTGCTGCTACTTGTGGGAGTCTTATTCGAAGTCCTAATGGAGATTTTTTTTTAAAGGACTTTATGTGCAAAGTGGGTTCTTGTTCTCCTTTGTATATAGAATTATGGGTTGTTTTTTATGATCGTCAATTTGTTAAAACTAAAGATTAGTTGAATGTAATTTTAGAAACTGATCCTAGGGAAACTCTCCAAGTTATTAAAAATAACCAAATCTATTTGGTTAGTATCTTTTTTTGGTTGAGAGTATTCATTCTCTATTACAAGATTTGTCTTTTATTCGTTATTCTTACGTATATCGTAAAGCTAACCATTATGTGAATAAGTTAACCCATTTGACTCATAAAGAATATGTTGACAATAAATTCTTAAGTAATGTCCCTTTTCCTTTAATCCACTATATTAGACACGATTATTTAGGCATTAACTTTCCAAAATCTTGTAAATAGTTTTTTCTTTGTTTTTAGGCTTTAAGCCCCATTGATTAGAAAAAAAATAATTTATTCTTGATATTACTTATAATGTAATTATTAATAATTTTAGTACTTTAAATAATAGATGTTAGTAACAAATAATAGGTTTTAAGGCCTTTTTATGTCTACAATTTTGGAAATTTTAAGAAAAAATATATTCAAATGAAAGCAAAATTTTATAAAAATAAAAATGGCAATTATTAATTATTAATGAAGTATAATTATGAATTATAAAGTCAAATTATAAAATCATATTGCATTTTAAAAAAGTTATGTAACTATAAATAATTCTTAATTTAATCATTAAATTTAGACAAATATTATAAATATATATTTTTTGAACAGTGTTTATTATTAGTTAAAATTTATTAAAAAATAAAAAATTATTAAAAGTGATATAATCTTTTTCAAAGTCTTTATTTATATTTTTAAATAAATTTTATTTAATAATTTAAAATATATCAAAAATTATAATTTTAACCCTTCTCTTAAATTTAATTATTTTTATCTTCTTGTAAAAAAATAAGTATTACCAACATTTTGTTTGGTAGATAAAAAGAAAAATAAAAAAATTGAAAACAAGAAATAGAAAATTCTAAATTTTATGTTAATAAATAATTGTTTTTACTTTTTCTGTAATTAAATAAAAAATAAGAATATTATTTTATCTAAACAAAGCATAAAATATGTTTTCTATTTAGTGAGTACAACTTTATTTATATTTTTTAAAAGGTTAGGACAGAATTTAGATACTTCTTTTAGATATTTTTAATCTTATTTTTCAATTGAAACTAAAATTTATCAAACAAATAATTTATCTATGATATCATTATGTGTTACTGAGATAAAATTTTAATTTTAATAAAACACAAGGTAAAAAAATTGAAGAAACTGAATTTAAAATTTGTGTAAAAGGTTATTGTATTAAAAAATATTATTCAAAAACAAAATATTTTCATTATTTTCCCTTTGCATAAATAGAAAATGAAAAAACCATATGGATGCCTCTGTAGTTTACACGTAGTGGGTACTTAACAACTCATAGAAAGAGAATCCAAACGAGAGGGCGAATATGCTTCCAACACCACTCTTGTCCCGATTCTCGAGCCAACTCTTGTTCTTCCTCCAAATCAACGATCACGATTCCATCGTCGCATCCAACGGCTGCCGTTCATTTTCTACCTCCTCAATATTAGGGTTTCTCTTTGGCTCTTCTCTACTTGCTACACTCCCACACATTTTCTTCCTCTTTTTCTCGTATTTTCCCCTTCATTTTTCTCGGGAAAACCATGGTGAAAGGTCCAGGTCTCTACACTGATATCGGCAAGAGGGCTCGAGGTAACTGATTTTTTCCTTTTGAATCATTCGATTAAATCTGTTTTTCTTTTGTTTTTTGTTTTTCTTTGCATGTATTAATATCCATGAACATACCGATACTGTTGGTCTCAACTCAGATCTTCTGTTCAAGGATTATCAAAATGACCACAAATTCACCATCACGACGTACACTTCTTCGGGAGTGGTAAGTGCTATTTTTTTTAAATTATTTAATAAATTTTGACAATAATACTTTGAAGCTTTTTTTTTTTTTTGTTTTTCATTGTTTTGTAAGTTTTATTGCGTCTTGTACATTTTCTTTGGAGCCCTATGGGACAACCGCGTTTAACATGTTGGACACGGAAGCTCTGCTGACTGTTCTGCTGATTATTTTGCAATAGTTGATGTGTTTTTGAAAGTAATTCATGATATGAGTTGATGTTTTGGCATTTAACTGTAATTGAGATTTATTGTTAGTTAGCTTGAATCTGAATTCGTTGGTTGATTTTAAGGGCCGAGGTCTCAGTGGTTTGATAGTTTTAATGGGTTTGTCTATCTAGGAAATCACTTCGACTGGAGTCAGGAAGGGTGAAATGTATTTGGCCGATGTCAGCACGAAGCTGAAGAACAAGAACATCACAACTGATGTTAAAGTGGACACTAACTCAAATGTGAGTTGAAGTTTTTTGCTGGGATAATTTACTCAACTCTTGAGCCTTTTTGCGGTTGTAAAATCAATTTCAATGATTTCTTTTGACTTCTATGATGTAGTTACAAGTTTTAATTTTAGATGGCAACTATGTTTTTGCCAGGGATCTTTTATCTGCGATATACAAGTAGTTAATTCCTTTATTTAATTGTTGTGCAAATTTTTTGAGTTGGGAGTTGTTTGTTTGGCTTTTCATGATCACTTATATTTTATAATCTTCTTTTAAAATGGAATTTGGAATCTGATCTCTTTATACTTATAGTTGAATTGACTATTGTATACATTTCTGTTGTTAGAGCTCATGCTACATTTCTTTTGTCTGACTGAATACTTCTCAGCTACTTACAACCATTACTGTGGATGAGCCTGCACCTGGACTCAAGACCATTTTTAGCTTTATTTTTCCAGATCAGAAATCTGGCAAGGTAATAACCATTTTCCTTTGTCCCTATCTCGTAAATTATTACATAATTATTGGTTTCTTGTATTCGCTTGATGTCAATGATCATATTTTAGGTTATCCTGAATAATGACGTTCTCTCTATGTGGTGTTTAACAGGTGGAACTTCAGTACCAGCATGAGTACGCTGGAATCAGCACCAGCATTGGATTGACAGCAAATCCCGTTGTTAACTTCTCTGGTGTGGTTGGAAATAATTTGGTTGCTGTTGGGACAGATCTTTCATTTGATACTGCCTCTGGCAACTTCACAAAGTACAATGCAGGGCTGAACATTACTCATGCTGACCTCATTGCTTCTCTAACTCTGTAAGTAGTTATGCCAAAGCGATATATGTCCATCAATTTTGGAGGGGTCATCTTTTATCGTTCAACTAGAATTGATCCCCTGATTTATTTGTTCCTTTTTCTTTTTAATGTAGAAATGATAAAGGTGACACCCTGAATGCCTCGTATTACCACATTGTGAGCCCGCTGACTAACACTGCCGTTGGTGCCGAGCTTTCACATAGCTTTCCTAGCAACGAAAATATTCTCACCATTGGTACACAGCATGCTCTGGACCCATTAACCTTGTTGAAAGCACGGGTGAACAACTATGGCAGGGCAAGTGCTCTTATCCAGCATGACTGGAATCCAAGAACCCGATTCTCTCTTGTTGGTGAGGTGGATACCGGGGCAATTGAAAAGAGTGCAAAGGTTGGTCTCGCTGTGGCCTTGAAACCTTAAAGACTTGTTTTGCGAGTGACATAGGCTGCGCCTCTCGTGATAGAGGTAATAAGTTTAGTGGTAGGGTTTCAGTTTCTCAATGAACCTTTTGGTCCTTCATTTTGGAGCTATCAATTTCTTCATATCTTGGTGGGCTTGGGGTGTATATGTAATAAGCGCAAACAAATTTTAAATTTGTATGTATTCAACAAATCCACCCTAATGTCATTGATTTAGTTGCACCTTTTGAGTATTTTTTGAACATGGAAGGTGATTGTTCTGCAATTTGATATTTGGGTGTATATCGTTGTTTTGATTCAGTTTTTTTTTTTTTGGTTTTGTTCAGAAGTTTATAATTAGAATTTATTAATGTATTCTTATTAACCTATGAAGGATAAGATTTATAGGTTAAAGAGATATTTCTTCACAGTTCAAGGGAAACGAAACTCAGGATTTTTTTGGTACATTGATACGTATTTGATTAAAGTGTATGGTAAGTAACTAATATTTTTTTTGTGAAGTGCGAATTTAGCTATGCTTTCTTCTTTTTAATGCAAAGCGCCGAAAAGAAACAAACGGGGCGAAGACAAGAACTTGGCCGAAGTTTCGCAAAGTGCCCAATACATGGTTGCATTCTGTTGCATCTTAGTATAATGTCGAGAAACAATGTTTTTTTTAAACCAAGCGTAGTTTTGATCTTCATTCATTGGGGGTTGAACTAGAGTAGAACATGGTTTTGTGCGTATATGTACATTACATCTGTGGTAAAATACATTTCAAATCAAGTAAAAACGGCATATCCTTAACGTAAAGGAGTTAATGTTAAGGGATGCAATTAGTGTTTATTTGTATAGATAAAATGTTAAAATATTTTTGAAGCTTTTAACATTTTTTAAATCTTATATTTTTCTAGCAATATATCTTTTAACGTGTTAAAAACACGTTGACAAAATTTATATTCTAATATATTTTTCAAGAAAAATGTTAATATGAACTTTTAGGTTTATAATATTATTATTTATTTTTTTTATTTATTTACATAGAATTTTAAGATATTATTAACTTTAATTTCTAAAATATTTTTTGTTCAAGTAAAATATGTCATTTATATTAGTTGAGTACTTAAAGAGATGAAATAAAATTTATTAATGTAAGTTAAATGAAAGACTCAGATTGAATATAAGAGTTTTTAGATTTATACCAGTATAAGAATATTTTTTATATATATAGAGAGAGAGGGGGAGAGAAAATAATCATTTTTATTTGATATATTTAAAGAAATAGTTTATAATCATTTTTTTTAAAGCAACAACTATTTAGAATAAAAATTTTGCACTATCACTACTTATCATTAAATACTTTAATCTATGTTGTTCTATTGTTATGGTAATTATCATAATTATTATCCCTATTACTATTACACTTATTATTAATACTATCTCTAATATCACATTCAACACATTTTATATTATTCAATTATTATTCTTATAATATCATTATTACAACCATTATCGTAATTACAATTATCACCGTTACTCCATTATTATTATCTTTATCAACATTATTATTGTTATTATCACTTATTATTATTACTATCACAATTATTATCACTATCATCATTAATGATTATCATTATTATATTTATCATTGTTATCATTATTACTATGATAATTATTATTAATACTACTTTCTCCGGTCTTTTTTATAAAAAATAAAAGAATAAATTATCAGAATTATGGAAAACAATTAAGTCTATTATATTTTTTATAAATATAAATTTTATTCTAAAAATACTCATGATATTAAATTGTATAGTTAGTAATTTACATATTTAATGATACTAATAAAAGAATGCTATAAAAGAAATTTAGCATTTAATGTATCTTGAATCTATTATTTATTTCTTATAATAAGAATAAAGAGAATGCTCCATTTTGTTTCTTATAAAAAGGACCAGAGGGAGTATAATTCTGATCACCACCCCTCTATCATAATTCATTACTATATTTGATATTATTCAACTATCACTATTATAACCATCATTATTATCGCTATTATTATAATTACAATTATCACCATTGTTCTATCATTATTACCATTATCACTTTCATAATTATCATTACCTTTATTATCATCATTACTATCACCTTTATTATCACTACCATCATCAATGATTATTACTACTATTATTACTATTGATGAATGAAATATTTTCTCATTTGCAAAAAGATTTGTCGTCAACCTTCATTAAAATATGCAGAAAAATTTTTGTAGTCTAGGATGCAAGTTTAGGTCATCTCCCATGAATCATTGGACGAGTGATCAAATATCAAACATATAGTGTGCAATGTATTTAGAAAGCAAGTAAAAAAGGGCGTTTGTGATTTCAAGTTCAATCAACTTAAGCAGAAAATAAAATTGTAAAGTTCAATCAATAAAATGTAGTAATCCTCCCAGAATTAGGTTGATTTAACAAGCGAAAATTAACCTTATGTTTTCATATGAATTAAGCAATCCAATGAACTCCAATCTCTCATTCTTTGATTATGCAATCTCGAAATTAAACAAGAATTAAGCAATTCAAATTTAGAATTTCCTTAAAACAAATTAGGGTTCATTACACAATGCTCCCCTCATTCAACCATTAATTTAATTCAAGAGTTTGGGAGGAAGAAATTCATGGAAGAAAAAGATTTGCATTAACATTCAAAAATCTAATAATTCAAGAATCCATATGAACTCACTAGAGATTACAAGAAAATTAACTCTCCATGATGATGAGTCTCACAATTACAAAATGAAAGTAAAGAGAAATCAATAACATCAATACAAAAATCAAAGAGAAGTAAGGAGAAAATGGAAATCAAACCCTAGGTTGGACCCTTGGCTGTCACCCAAAGCCACCCTAGGCTCTCCAAGTGTTCCTAAATTAGTAAGCAATCTTAAAGTGTGTAAAAGCTCTCCTCCTCTTTTTACCCTAAACGGTAAAAATCCATATATAGAAAAGTTAACGCTTTCAGAATAGTTATTCTCGTTCACGACACGTGAACACTCTTGAGTATAATGATTACTATCGTTTACAAGAGTAAACACGCGCGAGCATAGTGATTACTATCTTTCACAAGAGTAAATACGCGCAGGGTCCTGAACTCTGGGGCTCTCTGGAGTGTTTACTATTGTTTCCGAGAGTAAACACGTGCAGGTCTGGGTGTTTCCTTTAGCTCTGGAGTGATCACTATTATTTTTGAAAGTGGTTACTCTGGTCTGCCCTTTGGATCTAGCTTGCTGTAGTGTCCACTATCACTTCTGAAAGTGGTCACTTTTAACTCAAAATTTCTCAAAGGCTAAAAATCCATGTAATGAGTCTAGAAATTCCTGTACAATTATTCAAATAATCAAAATTGCAAATTATATCTATATAAATTAATGTAAATTAACCAAAAATTAAGAAACCTATGATATTTGACCAAAATGATATTTTTATGTTATTTACACTTCCTAAATCTATTTTTTTAATTAAAGAATACTAAAAAGATAAGTAAAAATCTAATAAATTGTGGATTCATCAACTATTACTATTATAATTATTATTATCATTGTTATAACTCTTATCACGGTCACCTTATCACTGTTACCATTGTCACTTTTATCACCACATTTTGTGACACTCCTATTTTATAAACCATCCTTGTGATAATATATAAAGAATTTAAAATTTTAATTAGATTACTATTTTACCTTTTGTCAATTATAATACAAGAAAACTTACAAAAGAATTAAAACTTTTATTTTTTACCAATAAATCCTTAAAATTTATTAATTATTTAACATGATACAATTTAAAACATAATTAAACATTCCTCGTCATAATATAACTTACTAAATAAAATTTGAACAACATTAAACAATTACTTCATTTGTACTACTAGAATACATAAATGCAATATTTATAAATATAATCAAAATAAATTAAAACTTAAATTAAAAATAATTATAAAAAGAAGAAAAACTAGAAGACATTCGATCCTAGTGAGCAAATCACTTCTACACCAAAATCTAGATAATATAATCCTAATTTAGGTCAATCTAAATGGTCTTCTTAGAATAATCGTATTTTATTTCTTGAAAATGTAAGTAAGGATGAGTCTTGTTCTCACCACTAAAATTAAACTGAAATAATGATTTAAAGATTTTACAAGTCAAACACTAAGTCAAAAGCAATAATTTAAAACATACACTAAGATCATATTATTTAGCATATATTTACAACAATCAGTATGTCATAATATGTGTATTATAATCACACCAATCAATATGTTACAACACATTAAAAATCACACCTATCAATGTATTACAACACATGTATTATAATCACACCTATCAATGTATTACAACATATATATTATAATTACACCAATTAATATATTATAATACATATAATATAATCACACAATTAATATCCTACGACCCATATATTACAATCATACAGTCATTGTCTCTAAAATCCCTTGAAATCTTCCACAAGTATGGATAGTCGCTAGTTAGTTGTAGCAACACGAATACAATATGTGCCAATATGACCCGTTTTAGCAAAAGTATGGTTAGGAGTATAGGTTAAGAAATGAGTGTAAGACCCGTAATATTTTCGCTCTCATCAATTATATGCAACTAATGATAAGCATTTACCATCCTACACTTTATAACTATCCATACGTATTTCTATCACCTTTTGTGATAGTACATCTTTCATCCTTTTTTATTTTTCATCATGATATAAATTCATCATAAAATCATAAAATCATCAATTATGCTAAAGGTCAGATACCTTTGGACTCGGTTTAATTAGTATATTTTAAAAAAAATCATATTTTCACCTTATTCAAAAAATAATCAAACATACATCAACTTTAAAATAAAGATCTACAATCACAATAACATGTCATTTAAATATAATTAAATCATCAAATAATTTGTCAAAGGTCAAATACATCTAGACTCAGCTCTAATTGCATTTTCACGCTATAATTACTTTAAATTATAAATCTTATGTGCTAGGGTTTGAAGTACACCATTATATAATTATTTTGTACTACACATTTTTTATATATCTCATGCAAACTTCTCAGAACACAATATATCATGCAATCATTCATTTCAAAAATTTATCTAACTCAAGAAAATAACTTAAATTGTATCTTACTCATAACTTTCTCTAGAAAACTCTAATTTAAATGACCTTTGAATCAAATTTTAAGATTTGATTCAAAGAATTCATTTTTAAGTCTAGATTTTTGAAATAAACATCATATAACCACATACTGAGTATAGCATGTGTACAAAAATGAAAGGAAGTTCTGTAATTAAAGTTACAAATGATGGGATAGAACCCTCCTTATCCCAAGGAAATGATTTTCATGAAAGATATCGTTTGAAAGACCAAATTCTTCCTATGTATCACAAAATAGAGTACTTT